CCCCAAAATCCCCCCAAATCTCCCCTCAAACTCACTCCTGACCCCAAAATCCCCCCAAATCCCCCCTCAAACTCACTCCTGACCCCAAAATCCCCCCAAATCCCCCCTTTTTCCCCGCAGGGATGGCGCAGGCGCTGGGCCCCGACACGCCGTTCACGGCCATCGCCGGCAGCGAGATTTTCTCCCTGGAGATGTCGCGCACGGAGGCGCTGACCCAGGCCTTCCGCCGCTCCATCGGCGTCCGCATCAAGTACGGCGGCCGTTTTGGGGGTCCCACGCCGCTTTTTGGGGTCCCCACGCCATTTTTAGTTCCTCTGGCAGTTTGTGTTGCTCGTCTGTTTGGTTTTCCCTCCAGTTCTGGGGTGCTTTGTCAAATTTTGGCATTTCGGTGTCAAATTTTGAGGTCTCCGCCCCAATTTCAGGGTCCTCGCCTGCCCCATTTTGGGGTCCCTACCCCGTATTTTTTTTTCCACTCCCCGTTTTGCTTTCTGCTCTGAACTCTTTTGTTGACTTTCTCTTTAATTTCGCTTTTCCCCCCTAATTCTAAGTTTCCTCGCAATTTTGGGGTTTTCCATTGTAATTTAAGGGAACCTTTACCTCAAATTTAAGGTCTCCCCCTCACAAATTCCAGAATCTGCCCCCTCATTTTCAGTCTCTCCACCACATTTTGTGCTTCCCACTCCCCATTTTTCTCTTTTGAGCTCAAGTTAATATTTTCTCCCTGTTTTGGGGTCCAACACACCAATTTTAAGGTTTCTTCCTAAATTTTGGGGTTCTATCTCAATTTTGAATTCCCCCTGCCCCATTTTGGGGTTCCCATATCCTGTTTTGTTACTCTGGTAGAGTCTGCACCCCCTGGATTTCACTCTCCACCCCAATTTTGGGCTTCTTCCACCCCATTTAATGTCCCAACAACTAAATTTTGGGGTTCCCCCCTCATTTTTGGGGTGTTCCCCCCCTTTTTTTGCCTTACAGGGAAGAGACTGAGATCATCGAGGGGGAGGTGGTGGAGATCCAGATCGACCGCCCGGCCACCGGCACGGTGAGGGGGGACCCCAAAACCTTCTTTGAGCCCCCAAAATCCCCTCGGGGCACCCCAAAATCCCCTCAAAGCCCCCCCCCAGAATTCCAAGGGCCCCCCAAACCTTGCGTTTCCTCACAGGGGACCAAAGTGGGGAAGCTGACGCTGAAAACGACGGAGATGGAGACCATTTATGATTTGGGGGCGAAGATGATCGAAGCTCTGAGCAAGGAGAAGGTTCAGGCAGGGTGAGTGAGGGTCCCCCAAATTGGGGAGACCCCAAAACTTGAGAGATGCCCAGAAATTGGGGCGAGGATCTCAGAATTTGGGGGGTGAGGGATGGAATTGGGGTGAGAAATGATTTAAAAGTTGGGGATAAAGAGAGTAGGGGGCTAAGCAGGGAGAAGGGACAGGAAGGGTGAGTGGGGGGGACCCCAAAATCAGGGTGAGGGACCCTGGAATTGGGGTGGGGACCCTGAAATCTGGGGGGAAAGAGTGGGAAACATGAGGGGGGAAAAGAGCGGGAAACGTGAGGGGAGAAAAGGGCGGGAAACGTGAGGGGAGAAAAGAGCGGGAAACGTGAGGGAGAAGGGTGGGGAATGTGAGGAAAGAAAAAAAATACCGAAATACTCTGTTTCCATCCCCAGGGACGTCATCACTATCGACAAGGCCACGGGGAAGATTTCAAAGCTGGGGCGCTCCTTCACCCGGGCACGGGACTACGACGCCATGGGAGCACAGGTGAGGTTTTTGGGGGTCTTTGGGGGGCACAGGGGGGTTTTGGGGTGACTCTGACCCCCTGAATTCTCCCCCCCAGACGAAATTCGTGCAGTGCCCCGACGGGGAGCTGCAGAAGCGGCGCGAGGTCGTTCACACGGTGTCGCTGCACGAGATCGACGTCATCAACTCCCGCACCCAGGGCTTCCTCGCCCTGTTCTCAGGTACCCCCTGACCCCAAAACTCACCCCAAAACCCACAAACTGTCCCTCACCCCAATCCAGAGCTTCCTCGCCCTCTCCTTGGGTATCCCCAGACTCCCAAAACTGCCCCTGGGACCCCCAAAACTGCCCCTGACCCCCCAAACCCCAAATGCAGGTGACACAGGTGAGATCAAGCCGGAGGTGCGGGAGCAGATCAACGCCAAAGTGGCCGAGTGGCGTGAGGAGGGCAAGGCCGAGGTCATCCCTGGGGTAAGCCCTGACCCCCAAAACTCTCCTGGGAACCCCCAAACCCCCTCAGGGAACCCCATAGTCCCCTGGGGACCCCCAAACTCTTCCTAGGACCCTCCAAACCCCCTCAGGAGCCCCCAAAAATTCATCTGTTTGAGGAACCAGGTGACAAACAAACTGCACCAGGATCTCCCAAAACCCCTTGGGACCCCCAAAACCCCCTCAAGGATGGCCAAGAACACCCCATGACACCCCAAACCCTCTCAGGCATCACCAAAAGCACCCCAGGACACCCCAAAACGCCCTCAGGGATCACCAGGACCCCTCCAATACCCTCCAGGTGCTGTTCATCGACGAGGTTCACATGTTGGACATCGAGAGCTTCTCGTTCCTCAACCGCGCCCTGGAGAGCGACATGGCCCCCGTGCTGATCATGGCCACGAACCGCGGCATCACCAGGTACCTGAGCACACCTGGGCAACACCTGGGCACCCCCAAACCTCCCCTGACCCCCCCTCATCTCCGCCTGTTCCTCAGGATCCGAGGCACTTCCCACCGCAGCCCCCACGGGCTCCCGTTGGATCTGCTGGACCGGCTGCTGATCATCGCCACGGCCCCGTACGGCGACAAGGAGACGCGGCAGATCCTCAAAATCCGGTGGGACACCCCAAAAATACACCTGGGTACCCCTAAATCCTCCTTGACATGGCCCAGATCACACCCTGACACACCCCAAAAACCACCCCCACGGCCCTGCACGGGGAGAAGGAGATCCAGCAGATCCTCAGATGATGGTGGGGACACCTAAAAATCGTTTCTGACACCCCAAACACACCTGGGCACCTCTCAAAATCAACCTGAACCCTGAAACCCGTCTGGACACCCAAACTGCCCTGAGCCTCAAACATGGCTGGTCCCCCTCAACACACCTGGGGTGCCCTATAACCCTAACCAGGTTAGCTCCAAAATCCTTGTCACCCCAAAAGCCTCCATAACTCTCTCCAGGTGCCCCGATCACCCTTGGGGTGCACCTTAACTTGCTTAGGGTCTCCCCAGACACCCCAAAACTGCTCTGGGCCACCCCAACCTCCTCAGGGTGGCTCCAACCCCTTAATGCACACCCCATAACCCCACTGCGGTGCCCCCAGGCCTCTTTTAGGTGTCCCCCTGCCCATTTTTGGGGACCCCTCACCCGTTTTGGGGTCCCCCTGACTGTTTTCGGGGCGCAGGTGTGAGGAGGAGGACGTGGAGATGACGGAGGACGCGTACGCGGTGCTGACCCGCATCGGGCTGGAGACGTCGCTGCGCTACGCCATCCAGCTCATCACCGCTGCCAGCCTGGTGGCCAGGAAACGCAAGGTGGGCACCCCAAATCCCACAGAAACCCCGAAATTCGGGGGGTGGGACCCCGAAACTGCAGTCAGGAGGTGGGGTGGGACCCCAAACTGGGGGGGTGACGTTGTGGGGTGGATGTGAGGTGCTGAGGGAGCTTCGGGGGGCTCTGGGGGAGGTTTGTGGGGAGGTCAGTGTGGATTTGGGGTGCTCGTGAAAGTTTGGGGTTACACGTGACCCTTGGGAAAAGGGTGGGAAACGTGAGGGGAGAAAAGAGCGGGAAACGTGAGGGGAGAAAAGAGCGGGAAACGTGAGGGGAGAAAAGAGCGGGAAACGTGAGGGGAGAAAGGCGGAAAAGGTGAGGAAAAAGGGGAATCGTGAGAGGAGAAAAGAGTGGGAAACATGAAGGGAAAAAGGGTAGAAAATGTGGGAGGAAAAGAGTGGGAACCGTGAAGGAAAAAGGGTGAGAAATGTGAGGGAAAAAGGGTGGGAAATGAGAGGGAAAAAGGGTGGGAAATGTGAGGTGAAAAGAGTAGAAAACATTGAGAGGAAAAGAGTGGGAAACGTGAGGGGGAAAAGGGCGGGAAACGTGAGGGGATAAAAGAACGGGAAACGTGAGGGGAGAAAATGGGGAACATGAGGGGAGAAAAGAGAGGGAAACGTGAGGGGAGAAAAGGGCAGGAAACATGAGGGGAGAAAATGGTGGGGAAACGTGAGGGGGAAAAAAAGAGCAGGAAACATGAGGGGGGGAAAATTGCAGAAAACATGAGGGGGAAAAAAGGCAGGAAATGGGGAAAGAGGGTTTGAAAATCAAGGTGAAGTACTTTGTGGTCTCTGCTGACGTTGGTGCCCTGCCAGGGCGCGGAGGTGGGAGTGGAAGACATCAAACGCGTGTATTCGCTGTTCCTGGACGAGTCGCGCTCCACTCAGTACATGAGGGAGTACCAGGAGGCCTTTCTGTTCAACGAGCTCCGTGAGCACCTGGGGACACTGGGGGGACGGCTGGGGGCACCCGGGGGTCTCCAAAACAGGGTGGGTAACACGGGACGTGCCGCGGGAGAACGTGGGGGGAGCAGGGAGGTGTAAAAACTGCGACAAAATGGGGAGAAACGGCCAAAAATTAGGCGATGGGGAGGGGAAATAGAAGGAGTGAAGGAAAAATAAAGAGAATCGGGCGAAATAGCAGGGAAAAATGGTAAAATATTGATGGAATTCGGCAAAACAAGGGTAAAAGGGGCAAAAATGGAAGAAGTGGAGGAAAAGATGTGTCAAATTAGGCAAAATTTGAGAAATGAGGTAAAAAATGGGGTACAGCAGGGAGAAAGGGAGAGATGTTATTGAATTAGGGCAAATAGGAGTTGAGTGTGAATGGGTCAAGAATCAAGGAGAATGGAGTGCAAAATGAAAAAGTATGGGAGAAGGGGGGAAAATTGGACAAAAATAAAGGGAGAAATTGAACAAAAATTGGATAAAAAGGGGAGAAATAGGGAAAAAATGGAACCAAACTTGAAGGCAAAGGGATGAAAGTGGGAAAAATTAGGTGAAAATTGGGGAAATCACACCAAAAAAATGGTAAAATTATGTAAAAGGAAGGAATTGGGACAAAAATAAGTGGAAATGGGATGGAAATCAGGTAAAAATGAAGGAACTGGGGCAAAAACGGGGCAAAGTGAGGATTTGGGGACACTGAGCCAGCCCCTTCCCCCTTCTCTCCACAGAGGGTGAATCCATGGAAACGCCGTGACCCCCCCCCAACTTTCCCTCCCCCCCTTTGTACAATAAATGTGATTTGGAGCCAAAAATCTCCCAAAAACTGAGGGAGGGGCAGTGCCTTTATTTGGGGGTTCAGTGGGGGTCTTCATCCATCGCTGAACTGGAAGAAGAGGCGCTTTCGTTGGGGGTCTGGGGGGTCCCCAAAATGGGGCACAAAGGGGATCTGGAGGATTTGGGAGAAGCCTTCGGAGAGGTCAGGGGCCACAAAGTGTTTCCTGAGGGGGAAGAAATGGGGAAAAATCACCTGAAAGTGGGTAAAGTGGGAGGAAAACCAGCAAAAACGGCAAATCCAACCAAGGTAGAAGAGGAAGAGAAAGGCAAAAGCCCACCCAAAATGAGGAAGAGAATAAAATAGCAAAGAAACCCTCACAGAATCGGGAAGGAGGCAAAAATAGGGAAAACTGAACAAAAAAAAAAAAAAAAAAAAAAAAAAAAAAAAAAAAAAAAAAAAAAAAAAAAAAAAAAAAGAATGAGGATAAATAATGGAAAGAGAAAAAAGTCCAAGCCAGCCCCACATTCCCCCAACCTTCCAAAGCTTCTCCAAACTATCCCAAAACGCCTCAGATGCCCCAAAATCCCCCCCAGAACCCCTTTAGATCCTTCCCAGGGATTCCCCAAAATGCCCCAGATCCCCCCAAATTCCTCCTGTCCCCCTCCAGACACATCCAAATCACTGCAGACCCCCCCCAAAACCCTCCCAGCACCCCCCAGACCCCTCTCACTTGTAACTGAACAGAACAGCGTCGGTGACGGGGACGTGGCCGCTCTGTGTCATATCCCGGAACTTTTTGGGGTGAAAAATCCCAAGAAAGGGGTTCACGGGGTGCTGAGGGTTCACCCTCAACCCCTCGGGAGGAGGGTCAGGACCCCCTCAGACCCCTCCTCACCCTGCAGTTGTGCCGCGCCTGCTCCAGACTGGCCGTGAACTGGAGGCACCGACACGGCACCGCGGCCTCCCGGGCACAGGACACGAACCTGGGGGCACAGGCCGGGTCAGGGGGTCCCCAAAACAAAGGACGTAGGGCTCAAAACCCCAGAAAAGGGGTCCTGAGGGCTGGGGGGAGCAGTTCCCAGTGCCCTCCCAGTTCCCTCCCAGTTTCCAGACTGGCCTTTGCCGCGATTCGGGGTCGGGGTTGGTGTTGTCGACGACAACGGGGCGGCCCCGAGCCAGGGCGGCCGAGCAGGCGGAGACGCAGCGCTGCCACGAGCCCAGCGTGTCCTGAGGGTTACCAGGTGTGTCTCGGGGCTCGCTCTGGGCCAGGCTGCCCGAACAGGCACAGACACAGCGCGGCCGTCAGCCCACAGCGCCCTGGAGCTCACACGGGGGTCAGCAGCTCACCCTGTTCACGTACTCATATCCTGCGGGAATCAGCTGCCGCTTCACGAAAGTGGATTTGCCGGCTGAGGGGAAAAAAAAAAAATCTTCCTTTTTCCTCTCACATTTCCCACAATTTTCCAGTTTCCAACCCTTTTTTCCCGCCTCACGTTTCCCACATTTTTCCCCTCACATTCCCCTTTTCTCCCCTCACATTTCCTACCCTTTTCCCTTCAGGTTTCCTGCTCTTTTCTCCCCTCACGTTTCCCGCCCTTTTCTCCCCTCACGTTTCCCGCTCTTTTCTCCCCTCACGTTTCCCGCTCTTTTCTCCCCTCACGTTTCCCGCCCTTTTCTCCCCTCACGTTTCCCACTCTTTTTCCCCCTTCACGTTTCTTGCCGTTTTTAACTCCTTTTTCCCTCTCTTTTCAGCTGCTGGGGACCAGAAGCCAGAGCTGGCTCAGTGGTCAGTGCAGGGGTCAGAGATCAGTGGTCACTCACCCCCAGGGAAGCCAACGGTCAGCAGCACCTCAGGCCTGTCCGACACCAGCTCGGCCTTGGGGGGTTCCGGGGGGGCTTCGGGGTCCAGGACACGCTGGGGACAAAGGTCAAAGGTCAGGATTGGGGACAGGCTCAGGGGTCACTTGTGGGGTCAGGGGTCACTTGTGGGGTCAGGGGTCACTCACGGGGTCGAAGGCCGGGAGGTCAAAGGGCGCTGGGGCCCAGCCCAGGAACTTTTCCTCAGGAGTCAGGAACCGCAGCCCCGCGTTGAGAGCGAACTGGGAACACTGGGGTGAACTGGGGGCACTGGGGGGGAAATGGGAGGGACTGGGGGGGTGAACTGGGGGCACTGGGGTCAACTGGGGGGTGAACTGGGAACACTGGGGTGTAAATGGAAGGGACTGGGGGCACTGGGGGGACACAGGAGACCCCAGGGTCATGAACTGGGGGGGACTGGGAAGGGCACAGGTGGAGCTGCAGGGATTTGGGGGTGTCGGGGGGGATGAGCAGGGATTTGGGGGGGGGTCCCAGGGGATCCCCAGGGATTTGGGGGGGTCCCAGGGGACTGTGGGGGTCCCCAGGCAGGTTTTGGGGTCCCACCAATCGGTCGCTGCAGGAGAAATCCTTTTTCTTCCGCCCCGGGGCCCAGTTCGGGGGGCGTCCAGCGGCGTCTGGGGGGGAAATGAGAGGTTGGGGAGGTGCTGGGACCCCAAAGATGCACCCAGAACCCCAAAACCCCTCCCAGGGCCTCCTCTGAACCCCCAAAACCCCCCCAGGACCCCCCCAGGCTCCCTCTGAGCATCCCAGTCCCACCCCAGTGACCCCAAAACCCCCCAGGACCCCCAAAACTGCCCCAAAATCCCCCCCGGGACCCCTGTGCTCACCCCCCACGTAGAAACTGTCGGGCACCGACACCGTCACGTCCCCGTTCGCCTGCGGGACCCAAACTGGTGATCCCAGTGCACACCAGTTCACACCAGTTCACACCAGTTCACGGGGGGGCCCACCCCCCAACAGCTCACAGCCCCCTCCCAGTGCCCCCAGCCTGTTCCCAACAACCTCCCAGTAACTCCCAGTCCCCTGCAATCCCCTCCTGATCCCTCCCAGTACCTCCCAGTCCTCTCCCATTGCCCCCCAGTCCACTGAAATCCCCTCCCAGTCCCTCCCAGTCCCTCCCAGTGCTCCCCA